GCAAAAGGATGAATGGTGAAAGTGCATTCAAAGATATCTCTTCAAAACTCACAATATATTCTACCCTTTTCAAAGGATCACTCAATATCTCATAAGCTTTATTAATCTTCCCACTTAAATCAATTGATAAACTTCCTGTGACAGAAGGATGTTTATCTGGATGTAATTGTTTTTGTCTTTCTAATGCTCTATTTCTTATATCTCTCACATCTAATATAAAACCTCTAGCTGGAAGAGAAGAAAGTTCAGAAGGAAGATCGATTATGTTTTCTTGGTTTAGATCGGTTTCTTTAATTATTATCTCTTGGGGTTTATCATCTGAGGTTTGGGATGATCGATGTGAAGTAGAAAGTATAGGTTGTGAGAGGAATAATAAAGAATGTAATGATAGTCTATCAGGTAGAGGTATGAGAGTTGAACATTTAGGACAAGGAGAAGAAGGGAGTGAGATAGGTGATTGACATGAAGGACAACGTCGAAGAAGTGTTGAGGGATTCGTACTCGTCCATCTGAATGATATCTTCATTGGGGGTTTCAGGGGAAGTTTTCGAGAGATGGGGTGTAATCGGAGTGGGTATAACATTGTTATTACTTGAGAGATTACAGTAGTTACTTAGGGTAGAGAAGAGGAATATATGTATGTTTTGAAGAACAAGTTGGAACTTTTAAACGAGATGAACGACGCAAGTACGTCATTCCGTCTCGGCCGATGAACTCGTCCACTGTCGGCTTAAGACTCGTCCCATATGTTGAACATGAAATGCTGGGTTGATGAGATGGTAGGAAGAAGGGAGCGAAGGACACAAAGTCAGAATGTGACAGTCTAAAAACTACAGATGCATGCATGAGAGGTGACAATGTGTCCCGAAAGTCAAAAATCTCGCTCCAACTACGCAACCACGGCGGGGGATGAAGGTGTTGGTTCGGATACTGGGCATTAGCTTCTGTCATCTGAAGAGTCTCGTTGACTAAGCAGCATGGAGACTTCATGAGAGATCGGTATATAATTACTCGAACATGGGAAGAAAGTGGACATGTGGCGATGAGAGGTATTGCTTGAAAACGAAGTCGACACGACTCACTTGGTATAGCAGGTACAGGTTGGGCGAACATACGATTCATCAATACTCCCACCCCTGTAGTTTAGCATGCATCTGAGATTCCCTACATCTTCTATAGCTGCACGGATTGCAAATGAGAGGTGGGGAAAGCCATTTCAGATGAAGGAGAAGTGGTTGGGTTTTGAAAAGCTCACCCTCAAACACCCCTAATAAAACCCCACAACCTACCGCTGAACCTAATGCTGATCTAGGTCCGGCTGACGGTCAGTACATTCATACGACCGATCAAATTATGATTGAAACTCGGTCGGTAGATTGGTGAAAAGCTAAGGCCGTAACGGTATTCAGCTACCTATGACTATCGGGCGACCGGAGGAGAATTGGGCAATGTAATGGATTTGGCTGGAATCATGAGATTATGGATTAGATGAAGGGGAATCTAAAGTGAGGGGGATGGAGAAGATAGCTACGGTGACGAAAACCAACGAATAGCAGAAGAAGATGTGAGTTCAGGTAGGTCATGGGAGGAAGGGGGTAGATGGGGAAAAAGTTCAACAACCCACCCCTCGCCGCCAAACTTCCACCAGTCAAAAATCCAGATATTATAGCATTCCAAGGATCTTCTTTCTGTCTATATCCCTTTACAGCACAATCGAATGTCGAGAATAATCCTCCCCAAACTCCAAAGTTTCCCCCGAGAACAGGAGCACGAGCTTTTATAGCTGATAGTGAACCTGTCAAACGTTCTCCCTGTTGCGGTGACAATTGTTAGCGTGGGTCCGAGGAGTATGTTTCGTGTTTGAATTGTCATGAAATCATTTCAAGAGAGGTATTATTCATTCCGACCAGGGGATAAGAGGACATGAATGAAGGTAAAAGTATGGAACGAGGGAGAAGGGTGAATAGAATATGGACAGTGAGGTGAATTCGTTGGAAGCATATGGAATGAAACGAAGAATTAGAACATTGAAGCAATGAAGTAAGCCATGTCAGCCAAGTCAACCCAGTGGATATCTCACTCACCCTGGGACTATTTCTCGCTCCTTTAATCCCATGCCATATCCCACCACCTATAGCACCCATCGAGAAAGCCCCACCGAAATCGTTCAGAATGACATATGGACTATAATCAGCTCTTTCATCTCATCTATCTTCTCGTGAGCATCGATAGACATACCATGGATCTCTTGTATGATCTGGATGAGCCATGACTGTGACTTATTGAGAATGAAATTTATCCACTTTAGAGGATCAGGACGGTGTCTGTCGTTCACAACTTTTTCCCCGCGCCTGAAAGGCAGTAAAGGGGGGGGGGTCGAATAAACTCCGGCACATTATGGGCCAGTGCGCGACGTGTGGAATTTTGTCAAAAAGTCATCCATCCTCTCCATCTTCCCCTCACCCCCCTCACTCAAACATCATGTCCAGTATAGAGCTCATCAACCCGAGAGCAGAGTCCGTAAGACGTACTCAGGCTTTGCAGGTCAATACGGTATGTACTCTTTCACTGGAGGATAGCGGCTCCTGGTTGAAGACGAGTTGAGGACAGGGCTGACGGTTGTAGGCAGGAGCCGTCGGTTTGGCAAATGTCGTCAAGTCGAATCTTGGACCGAGAGGGACGTTGAAGATGCTAGTCGATGGGTCGGGTCAGATCAAGATGACCAAGGTGAGTCCCAGCTCTTCTTTAGACCTTCCTGCTTCGCCTGTTTCTCCTTGAACACTTTGACTTCGTCTCAAGCACCCAGTGTTCATCTGTAATGGAGAATAACTTGAACTTCACGCCCTTACATACACTCGGTGAACCAGGGTTGATCAAGTCGACTGTGAATATATGCAAGGTCTATGCTCATCTTAGGATGGTAAAGTCTTACTTTCCGAAATGCAAATCCAGGTGAGTGACAGCGACTGGACACTTGACTGTGTCAGCTCACTCTCAGAACCCCACGGCCGCTATGATAGCTCGTACTGCCGTAGCTCAAGATGAGCAGGTAGGAGACGGCACGACTTCTGTCGTTTTATTGGTTGGAGAACTGTTAAAGCAAGCGGATAGGTATATACAAGAAGGGGTGCATCCGAGAGTGATTGGAGAAGGTTTTGATCTAGCAAAAAAAGAAGCTTTAGCCGTGAGCCTTTCCACCTTATCTTACTCACATTTTGTCGTAGCTTCACATCAACCCTGTCATCAGTATCATCATGTTCACTTCTGTATTATCATATCTTATACATCACATATGAATCTGTCCACTGAAGAAGGACCCCAGCTCATCACTAGTTCCTCGACAGCTACAAACAATTCCCCACACTCGACCGTGCCAACCTCATTTCCGTCGCTCAAACTTCCCTCTCTACCAAGCTCCACTCCGCTCTCGCTCAGAAACTCTCCGCCGATGTCGTAGATGCCGTTCTAGCCATCCGTGCTCCCGCCCCTTCACCCGATGCCACAGGCTCGGAGGCCATTCGAGAACCTATCGATTTGCACATGATTGAAATCATGAAAATGCAACATAAGACAGATACGGATACTCAATTAGTCCGAGGATTGGTCATGGACCATGGAGCGAGGCATCCGGATATGCCAAAGAGGGTCGAGAACGCTTATATCTTGACTTTGAACGTGTCTCTGGAGTATGAGAAAACGTAAGTCTTGTCATCATCTCACATACCTTGCCCCTTGCCCTTCATGATCGGGCGCTGAATCCTTTGCCTGACTGCTTACAGTGTCTGTGTTGGATGATACGAAAGGTAGTTGCTTGTGATTTGTAATAATAAAAACGGAACGCATCAGCTGACTCTCAGCGAGGTCAACTCGGGCTTCTTTTACTCTTCAGCAGAACAACGTGAAAAATTAGTCGAATCCGAACGTCGTTTCGTAGATGAAAAACTTCGTAAAATCGTCGCCCTCAAGAATAAAGTTTGCGACATGGAAGTTGGTTCCGGCGAGAAGCCCAAAACCTTCGTTGTGATCAACCAAAAAGGTATCGACCCCATGTCGCTCGACGTGTTGGTGAAGAACGGAATATTGGCGTTGCGCAGGGCCAAAAGACGGAATATGGAGAGACTGCAACTGTGTTGTGGGGGTGTGGCTCAGAACAGTGTAGATGATCTGACGCCGGACGTGTTGGGATGGGCGGGGTTGGTTTATGAACATACGCTTGGAGAGGAGAAATATACGTTTGTAGAGGATGTCAAAGAGCCGCAGAGTGTGACGATGTTGATCAAAGGTGAGCGGGCTGCGTCAATCCATTCAAACGCCTGTTCTCCATCCCCGGCTCTCCATCGTGAATCATCTTGCTTGACTCGTCCTTTTTAGCCTCTCGGAGTGTGCTCAGCGACTTGGATGTCGCTCCCTAAGTCAAGGAGCATGTATCAGAGAGGACAAGTCGGTACATGTCAGTATGGATAGGCCCGTGCTGCATCTGAAATCCGAAGACTTTGTCGATCAATAACTCATACACAGGTCCAAACGCACATACCATGGCCCAAATCCAAGATGCTCTCCGAGATGGTTTCCGTTCTGTGAAAAACGCTCTCGAAGATAATTGTCTCATTCCCGGAGCAGGAGCTTTTGAACTCGCTTGTTCCCGTCATCTCCTCGTCGATCCTGTTTTACGAGCATCAGCCAAAGGTCGAACTAAACTTGGTGTTCAAGCGTTCGCCGAAGCTCTCTTGATCGTACCCAAGACCCTGGCCGCTAATGGGGGATACGACGTCCAAGATGCCATTGTGAATCTTCAAGCGGAGTTGGATGAGACGGAAGGGAAAGAAGCTGTTGGATTGGATTTGAGGACTGGGGAAGGTATGAGTCCTGTTTTGGAAGGGATTTGGGATAATTATAGAGTGAAAAGACAAATGTTACATAGTTGGTATGTTGTTTTTCATCTTTGAACTCCAATGTCGGAAAGTCGGAGCTGATGGATGTAGCTCTGTTATAGCCGTTAATTTATTGAGCACTGATGAGATTTTGAGAGCTGGAAGAACTTCGTGAGTTTATTTGTTCATCTTTCTCCTTTTCCTGAGCCATCTACCATCTCCTCTCCGTTCCCTGCCCTACCTGCAGCGTCGATGCACGCCGTTGGATGATCGATGCAGTGGTGGGTGGGGCTGACTGTAGATTGAAACCTGAAGGTCCTGGACCGTAAAGTTCAGTCTCGATGGTGTAGAAAAATACCGCTAGTGAGAGGATCAGAACAGAGGATTGGAAGTGGAAGATCTGATAAACGAATGCATCGCATAGTTTCGATTTGTGCAAAGTACAACATTCCTGCCTTCTTTCAAACGTTGAATGTGAAAAAAAGAAGGGATTCCGTCTGAGGACTTGTGACTGACAATTCAATAAGGAATACCACTGTCAAGTTAGCACAAATCCGATGACTACTTATCTAACCTCGCTCCCAACCGAATGCTTTCCCGCCCCACGACGTCCAATCTATGTTCCATCTCCCACCATATCCCACCATCGGCACGGAGATACGGAGAGTATAGAGGAAATAGTCAAGTGAATCCCTTTCAAGCTCGACTCGTTCAATGATTATCACAGAGAAACGTGAAGGGTGAAGGGTGCAGTGAGCGAGACAAATCAATGAAGGAAGTGATTCGGATCAAGAAAGGAAAGGTATGTACGATAGGAAAGAAAAAGAAAAAGAAAAAGAAACCTTCTACTGACTTTTGTAATTTTTGAAAACCATCATAAACATTACTTCTCACATTCTCATGAGCATTCCTAATGATACCCAACATGAAATCCGCCGCACCTCTTCCGTCAAATGTAGTTGAAACCTTTCCTTCAACCTTTTTATAGTACCTTCACCTTTAAAACTAGGCAAACCTGTACCTAACATTAAACCCACCGTATCGCATAATTGTCCAGCATGTGGTCTGATTGATAAAAAAGCTTTAACAGTTAATTCTACAAACATTTTATATCCTTGAGAATCTTTACCTCCCATTAAATAAACCATTTCATGATTTAATTTAAAAGAAGAAGGTTCAAATTTTATACCTCCAGGTCCTATATCGAATAAAAAACCGAAATCAACATGAACTATATGACCTTTTGAATCGATCATTATATTACCGTTATGACGATCTTTTATTTGAAGTATGAAACATGCTATGGAATACGCTGCCATTGATTGAATGAAATTTAATCTCGCTTTTTGAAATGTCAAGGTATCGATCCCACCGTATTTATCAACGAAATAAGAGAATAAATCGTTTATTTTGGCTCTACCCATTTCGTCTCGAGATGTCGCGTTGGGTACAACGTCGATTACTCCGCACTGGTGGGTTAGTGAGTGAGTTGTTGGTTGATTTAAGTCTTGCACGTGGGATTGATCGAAAATACTTTTCAAGTGACTGATGATATTACGAGGTCAGGAACAGATTGTAGGAAAGATGAATATCCTGATTCTGCTTCGCAAGGTATTCCCACCAAACGAAAGGCAGTTTGTGATGCTCGGAAGGACCAGAAATCGTTCGTAACGAAGAACAGGAATGTCGTCCAGAAATGAATGACACGAAGTAACAATGAGGGGGAAAAATGGAAGAATGGGAGGTCAGGTGAGATATTTGAAAAGGCGGGAAAACAAACAGGGAGACAAGGAAAAAAAGGTAAAACTCGACTCACTCCAGGAGCAGTAGCAGTAACCCTATAAGGAAACAAATATAAAGATAATCCAACCGAATCAAAAACATTCTTGAACATCGCAATAACCTGTAAAGCCAAAACATCTTGTCGACAATCATCTCCAACTTTGAAAATAGCAGATTGCCAAACGTCCAAAGTACTAGTCACCATTTCAGCTTCATCAGAAATCTCGATATTTGAATCCGTAGGTAAATCGATCCTAGTTCTTCTGACTTTGAAAGTAGCCATGAATGGGGCTTTGGCATGTGATTGAAGTGGTCTGCCGGATTTACGATCTAAATCCACAACGTTTCCATCTGGATTTGAAGGTAAATAAACACCGATCTTCAATTCAATCTTTTCCATTTCTTCATCGATCTTTGCTTTTTTCTCCGGCTTGGATTTCTTGATATAAGGTCTTAATTTACCTGAGATGGAAGTGATTTCGTTGAAAAAGCTGAATTCTGTGTCGTAGAAATCACGAGCTTTACCGTTGAGACCGGCAACGATCATGTTGATCATTCTGTCCAGGAGTGGTTTCATTGAATCTTCTTCGGACTGAACGTTAGTTTGAGAACAAAGTACGGAGAGGGTGCCGTGGCGGATGAGAAGGGAGAGGGGAGAGGGGAGAGGGGAGAGGGGAGAGGGGAGAGGGGAAATGATGAAATCTCACAGCATTATCATCCTTATAAGTATTAGCCTTCATATTCCAAATAATCTGATGACAAAACAACTGAGATATCTGTGAAGTCTCAAAGATGAATCTCTCAACGTATCCTATGTAGTCAGCAACTATTACATTTCGACTTCATTTCTTTCTTAACCATCCACGGGCCTAACACGTATTCTGACGACTCCTTCAAAATATAGCCAAATGGAAAAGGACTCAATGACCACTCACCAAGTGCATCCGACCTCAAAGCTTGTACGACCTGAGGAACGAAGAAAAACGTTAAATCCACTTCATGTTGTTCCAACACCCTCATAGCGTATTGCAAAATCAAAGGATGATTCCCAAACCTCGGTTGGAAATACATTAAAGCCGTTACTGGTGGTACCTCTGCCCATAATGGTAACCATTGTAAAGCTGCTTGGACCCCAGAATCCAATCTATCCCCTAGAAGATAATGTAAAGCCTCAGGGACGTTCATTACGGATTTCGGATTGTTGCGTACGAGACGGACCAGCTCGTTTTGGACTGTAAGATGTTTGAAACGTTCACCCATATGTACCGCCATGGCTGGAGACATGCGCCAAGCTTTGTTGACTAGCTTATTCCATTCTTCCTATCTTATCAGCAGTCATTCTTCGAGGGCTCCATCATACGTCATGAGACAGGCAGTCAGTGTCCCGTGTCACGTGTCTTGTGTGTTGGGGGGGGGGGGGGGGGGGGGGGGGGGGGAAAGGAAGAACAAAAAGAAAGTTGGGATAATTATTAAAAAAAGCCTGGCCACTCCCGCGGGTTTAAGAACCTTTGACCACCCCTCCCCCAAAAGAATT